CATAAAGGAACAAAGGCACCAACTCGTGGTAGCAAAGGATTTGTAAAGAAGCACAGTGGAAAATAAAAGGGGTGATGTAGGGTAAGGGTGGCTTTTGGAGGTTCTTCACAGCCAGACTTAGAGTTGATGTATGAGACAGAAGGGAGCCATGACGCTGGATAAATGTCATCTTTTAATTAAATTAATCTGGCCACATTGCGGAGATGAGACAAGAAGAAGAGACTGGCACCATTAAATGTATTGAGTTGATTTATGTCTGCAGTGGTGCCTGGGCCCGAGCTCTGGTGGTCCATAATCCTGGTGGGAATTGAGAGGGCCCTATTCAATTAAAAAAGGGAACAGCCACAAGAGTGAGGAGAATTTAAATATTGGAAATTATTTCACAAAGTGCTGTTTTGTTCCTCAGCCAGGCCCTTCCCTAGTAAATCATCTCGAATGTCTGTTGTCCTTGTGTTCCTAAGCTGCTTATCATTTCTTTATCCCTTATAAACCACGAGCTCCCATAACCCCTCCCCATCTATACTTCACTATTTTTCCTTTTAATCTGAAACTGCAAATGTGCTCAGCAGGCTCTCTCTGATTGTTAATTGGAATGTCCACTGGTGAAGCTTGCTCGGTGGCGTTGTAATTACTTCCCTGTATCTCTTTAATTTTTTTTTCCCCTTGCTCACATCTGAAACTGAAAATATCTGCTCAACCCCTTGATCTCAGCAATTAGTTAAGTGCTATGCAGCTGGTTATCTGGGGGCGGGCTCAGACTCTTAATCATCTCCGTTCGGGTCTAAATGGGGATCTTCTTGAGTAGTGACACCTGTAATTAGTGGGAAGTTTCAAGAAAATACTTTGGGAGCTGTGGTTCTCAAAGTGGGGTCCACACATAAACAGCATTGGCATCATTTATCCTTAGACCCCCATCCCAGACCTACTAAATCAGAAACTCTGATGGGGGGCAGGGCACAAATTTTAACAAGTCCCCCCAAGTGCATGGCAGAGCTTGAGAACCACTTGTCCTGGAGAAATAGCTTCTCAGGGTTGAGTAACCAGACTCAGCAAGTAGAAGAGCAGGCCTTAGGAGCAGGAGGGAGGACATTGTAGAGAGTTGAGAAAGGCCAGCCACACTGCCTTCCTGGAGATGATACAAGTGTCCAAGGAACTATTGTTAGCCTTGAAATTTTGTACTTGGCCTTTTCAGCCCTTTGAAAGAAAACCTGTTAGCCCTTGCTTGCTTTGTGCTTTGGAAAAATGAGTTCTGAAGTCAATTTTCTTGAAGATCTATCTGTTGGATCTTCCTGCTCAAAGATCTGCACTGGGGATTGTACAATTAATTAGATGAAGAGACAGAGATTCATTGGGTGAGTCTCATTTTCTTCTGTGGACACTTTTACATGCAGAGGGTAGACTTACTTGATGGCCAAAAGGAAATGGGAGCTTGGGTTTCAGCCTGTATCTTATACTGTGCACATGCCCCATTTGAAGCAGCTCTTCAATAAGATTCTTTTGACCAAGCCCCAGAGTCTTGGTCAAAATACTAAATTTGCTTTAGGTTTTAGTGTCATACACAGAGAGCTTTAAAAACTAGGTACTCAGGCCATGCTTCCACCCAGCTTCATCAGAATCTCTGAGTTGGGGTGGGGTGACTTGGACTAGTATTTTTTATGTTCTCCTGTTGCCTCTGAAGCCTAGAAGTGAGTAACCCATCAGCTACCAAGTCTGGTGGGTCCTTTCATTATCAAATCATTGGTTAATCAAGGATGAGTTAGGGTGACCTTGTTTTCTACTACCAGAGTCAGAACTAGTATCTTTCTTTCTGTTCTAAAAACTCCACTTTTTTTTCCTATTGGCAACATATGCCCACCTAAAGCCTTTCCTGGGGTAGGTATGCATCATCACAATGTCAATATGAATTTAACTGTGTGACCCAGGGTCACTTTCTTTTGTAGTTTTAAGTAACAACACGATTTCTTTGCTAGTTCTTGAAATTTCTGTGTATCTAGCAAGGAAACTCTCTTTACAAAAGGAGGAAGAGGAGATTACATTTCATTCTCCTTCTTCAATGAATATTAATTATGATGATAAAGTCTCTTGGGGAGAAAAATAAATCCTGGCTGGCCACCCTTTGGTTGTTAGATGATGTATTCTCTTAAAAGATCATGAACTTCTCCATGGGTTGTTTCCATTTGGGGGATGAAATAATGGAGTTTTGGAGTCTCCATTCTGTGGTCCCCGATTGTGTGATTTCATAACTATAGGCACTTGGAAGATTTATCTCAGAGGGGACCCTGATGAACAGTTCTGTTGCCACTTAAAAAAACAGGCAGGCTACTTCTCCTGGGGCTCTCAAGGCAAGCAGGAAATAACTAAAAAGGGATATAAAATATACTCCCTGATCACTGTGGTCCTACTGGGTCCCAGGACCTGTCTCTGTTTGGTCTGAGAGTTCCCACAGCTTGCTATCCCCTGTTCATCTGTCAGGGCGTGTTCATGTTACCTGGTTTCAGCCAGAGGAATTGGCTCATAGGAGCTGCAAAATTTACTTCTTTCATTGTTTCAGCTCAAAGTCTAGGACCTGTAGAATAATCATGAGATGATGATGAAATCAGTACTAATTTTTTTGAAAGAAGGACTAGAGTGAAGTTCAGTTATGGATTTAGATTGTTTTCTGCAAATCAGGGGTGTTGTTGAGGTATGTTTTCCAATACGGTATCCTCTAGCTTTAAATCTTTTCTTTATTGCTTTTGGGTAAGAGCAATATTATAGAAGGAAACAATGGAAATGACCAGGAAGGCCAGGAGCATCGGAAAGCAGTTGCTGCAGCCTGATTGCTCATGCTTTTTCTGAATATCTATTTCTGTTTATGTTCAACCAAAATACCCTCAATGATACTGAGCTGTCATGTCTCCACCCACTATTCCACTCCCCACCACAGCCTATCAAATATTTTTCCAACCAGATGTACTTCAAAGATACCATCAAATTAACCACAGAGGCATGGAATGAATAGGAGCTAGGGAACTCACGAGACTCCCCCAAGATGCCACCAAGAATTATTGTGAGGGCAACAGTGGTGCCATAATAGTGAGTTATCCATGATATACTTGTGAATGAAAGCTTTTTCTCTGTTCCCTTGACTGTGGGGACATCATTTTGGATGAATACAAATTTCTGATGCATGAACCAAGTCCCTGGTAGCACAGAAGAAAACATCAGTGCATATTTGGTACAGATTTCCCTATACCTGCTCACTTGCTTCTCACACACACACACACACCATTTATTCTTCACTAGCACATCCTGCCAGTAGCTTCCAAAGCACAGACATGCTCTGTTCTGTCAACCCTTGGAATCTGTAGTGTATTTTTGGTCAACTTTATGTATTTCTTATCATTGCAACTATGATGCCTAGGAAGTCTAACACCTGTTCACCTTGTGGGTTTTGTTCTTGAAACAAAACAAAATACCACTAATGGCCCGAGAATTGCAGAATTGTCCCTTATTAACTCTAGGCCTGGCAGTTGTCAATTCCTTTGTGAAGGAACTGTTCAGTGTTGTTTTTGTTCAGTCCGCTTAGTTTGTAAATGCACATGTAGGTGACTCTTGATGCTTGTCTGGAAGTTGTACCACATATTTGTGGTTTGGGAGATGGCAAAGGGCATGTTTGACTTGTAACCAAGATGAGGAATGGAGGAATCCAGTGCATGTCACATGATCGATGATTCCCATAGACTGACATCCCAGGGATCTAAGGGGGTCCGCATTCCAACTGCACAGACTCCTGCCTGTTAAACAGCCAAGCATCATCCTCACAGAAGTACAACTATACTAACTGGTATTGCGTACAAGGATTTCCAAGGTGCTGATCCTCGGAAATCCTTCATCTTCTCAAGCTAGCTCTCTTCTGGAGCAAGAGGTCCATGTGGCTTCCCCTCTGGGGAAATTATTTTTTTTCACCTGTACTCCTTCTCCCTTCCCGCACCTTACCCTCTTTGTGTTCTGGCCTGGGTGTTCCCATTTGCTTAGTGATAACAGCAGACTATGAATTTTCATTCACAGCTTTAAGACGTTTATGAGGCTTTCCTGCTTCCCACCCAGCCCAGACCTTGGGGCTGTTTTCACACTGGGAAAGCACACAGAAGCCATGTACCAGTTTGTATAGTCGTACCCTTTTGAAATGCCTACTCTTGAGCCAAGTAGAGTGTGCTGGGGTGCGCATTGGCTGCTTGACACACACACAAAGCCAATTAACCTGCATGCCAAAAATAAATAAATAAATAAATAAATAAATAAATGAAAATTAACCCTTAGAGTACTGCTTCAATGATGGGGTTTAATGTTCTTGACTTTTTCCCGGTTGGGCAATGCTTCCTTCCCCAGATCAGAGTGCTGCACAGAAAGTCTATACTTTGTCTCACTGGAAAGTTAACCAGGATCTTCTCCACCACAGCTTTACTTGAGATGCTCCTGGGTTCTTTATCTATTAATTCACTAGGCATTTCCAAGATCCAAAACACAGCCACCATGTTTAATAATAATAAAAAAAAGGTCTCTATTTCCATTGTGTTGGAGGGTGTGAGGGTCTGATTTTTAGCCTTCATATCTGTCCTCTAAAATAAGGAAGTCAGTTCTTTAAGGGTTAATATAAAATCAAGGAATTTGGTGGTCACTCCTGCTTGTCCTTCCTCCAAGATGTCTGCATGATCTCCTCTTTAGATACGTAGTTCAACTGTTGAATGATGATTAAAAAATAAATAAATAAACATGTGGATATAAATTTACCAAAAAAAAAAATCCCCCAAAGCAAATAAAAATGATACACTGACTGGTTGAATGGAAACCCCTTGGCAATGCTTGCTTCATGATCACGAGGGGTAGAAAGACCAAATGTTTTATTTAATTAACCTTCATTTTGTCCTCTACCCCTTTCACTACCACTTCTCAGGGTTGTGGGAAATGTGATGATGTTTTTCATTTACTTCTTGCTTTTTCTTCTTCCTGTTTAATAGCCCAATAGAATCCTGCCAGAATTTCTACAAAGATTTCACATTGCAGATCGACATGGCTTTCAACGTGTTCTTCCTTCTCTACTTTGGCTTGCGGGTAAGTTTAACAACATCCCTCCTTGGCATCTACTCTCACAGGGAAGGGGAAGCCCAGGGTTTCCATTATAGATAACATATGTGCATTCTGATTTTCAGGTTGTGAGAGAGCCCTTTCCTTAGCTAAGCATTTTCTGGAAAACATGTTAATTTTGTTTCAAGGGGATAATGGAGATTGAAATGACAATGGCATCTCCACTGACTCATTGGTTTCTCATTCCTCTGTTCTCTCAAAAATTAAATAGAGAAAAAAACAACCTTTGGCTCTTAGAATGATATCTAGCATGTTACTGCTGATGAAGGGTTCTATACAAATCTGAATTAAAGAAATGTATGAGTGTGTGCATGCACATGGTCTTTACAATTATATTTATAATAGAGAGTCTAATGAAGGTGAGATTATTCAACCTTCCCTATGAAGCTGTTGGAAACCATACAAAAACACATTGTTTGATCTTTCTCCAAGGCTAGCACAGTGCACTGTCACTCTCCAGAAGAGACAGTGTATCTGACAAAATTGTACATGATTGGTGTAGGACGTAAGAGAAGACTATAACTTCTCCCTTCAGAAACCCACAAATTTGCCCGTTAGTCAAAGAATACAGATTGAATGCCAGCACTGTGCTTCTTATTTTTTTTCTCTCTCTTATTTCTTCTTTCCCCCACCAGTTTATTGCAGCCAATGATAAGCTGTGGTTCTGGCTGGAAGTGAACTCTGTGGTAGATTTCTTCACGGTCCCTCCTGTGTTTGTGTCTGTGTACTTAAACAGAAGCTGGCTGGGTAAGTCAATCTCTTCTGCCATCTCTTTACTGGTTCCTGAATTGTGACAGAAACAGAGAATCCAGGGTGGATCAGAGGGCTGAACTGTCCCTATACAAAGAAAGTTCTGTGTATCCATGTGGACCGTTCTCTTGGAGTGTTAACATTGATAGTGACAGTTCTTTTGGGGTGCTAGCCCAGAAGGATTTGCCCAGGTAGTGCTCCAGGTGATGCAGTTTTATCATTGTTGAAGCCCCGGGGTCATCACTGTCACAGCTAGGACTTCTGCTCTCTTGGTTTTGTCACTTGTCATTCAGGAACTTGGAGTCAGGGACTGTTGGGAATAAGACCAACTTTCCAAGTGACTGGTTCAGGTGCCCCAGAAGGCCTGCCTCTCAGAGTTAGCTTCTGTCTACTTACTTTTATGAGCAGTGGGTCTTTCATGATCTATTTATACTTTACAAGTTCCTTCGGGAGACAGGACACTACAGGAGACTGATTTCCCTTCCTGTGCAGGGGAGAGTTTTTGCTAGTGTTGTGCTCAGTAGGTCACTTCCTGTATCTGCTCAGGTCTTGTATCAGGACTAAAACAATTTAGTTGGGAAAAGTCACTTGTTCAGAGGATGACCATGACTTACAGTAACAAGTTCAAGATTGTCTTAATGCATTGTTTAATTTCTGCCCTCCTCGGGTCTACTGCCATGGGGTGTATTAGGGAAGAAGGAAGGCTAAAACAAGAGATGGAGGACTATTGGGGATTTCCTTCTGTTCTTACTTTTAGCATTTTTTTTGGCTTAATTTTTTCTCAAAGTAACAGGTTTGTGCTGTAATTGGTGAAAACATTAAAAGATGCACAAAGAAAATATCAATCATCTTTTTCCTTTCTTTCATCTCCCTGAGTTGCCCAGTGTTAACAGGCCTTCCCATCTTTCTTCCATGCTCATTCTACCACCAACATAGATGTGCATATTTAACAGTGCTGTAGAGGTGTAGTGTTTGTGTAAGAAATTGTATTGAATCATCACTTTGTAGTGCAATTTGTCTTTTCTTACTAATACATGATGGACATCCCTTCATCTCTGTAATAATTCATCTTATAAAAGGTTATAGCAGCCGGGCACGGTGGCATATGCCTGTAATCCCGGTGACTCGGGAGGCTGAGGCAGGAGGATTGTGAATTCGAAGCCAGCCTCTGCAAAATTGAGGTGCTAAGTAATTCAGAGAGACCTTGTTTCTAAATAAAGTACGAAATAGGGCTGGGGATGGGGCTCAGTGGTTGAGTGCTGCTGAGTTCAATCCCCAGTACCTCCCCCCACAAAAAAAAAAAAGAGTTCATAGTACAAGTAATTCATTTTATAAAATTTGTAAATTTTTTAAAATTCCATTATTTGTTTGTCACCATATATACAGCCATAACCCCAATGATGAATTTCCTGGATATATACTTTTTCTTTTTTTTCTGCAAGCAGGGTTTTAGTAAATACCTTTATTCATATATTCACATATTTGTAAAATGCTCTTTCTATAGAAACTTCTACATTCCTGGAAGAGGAACTGCTGAGTCAAAAAATATGTGTATTTTATCTTGTAGATATTGATGGATAGCATTCTAAAAATGTTATGTCAAGTTGTACTTCCACTAGCAATATATTTTGATTTTCTTGCTAGCACTGTGAATTTATTATATACCTACTGTCAAGTATTTTAAAAATGAGCATCTTTAGTGTATGTTCATCACATACACAACATGCACATATGTGTGTACATATATGTGTGTATCCATATCCTTACGTGGATCCCATTTTCTACTTGTTTTCTCATTAGAATCATATTCACTTGCTCAGGGGAAAAGTTATGGTGTGAGAGGTGCTTTCTTCAGTGGTTTTTCTAGCTAGTGTGATGATCCAAGAAGTATCCTGAGTGTATGCTCTGTGTGCCTGTGAGCCAAGGGACCCAAAGGCCTCCCCTTGACAGTTATCTGGCTTTTTAACCTGGGGAGCTGAATTTTTTTTTTTTTTTTCACTCAGCCTGTTTTTTTCAGCCTGTTTAAAAAAAAACAAAACTGGCTTGATGATCTCAAGGTTCTTACAGCTCAGAAAGTCTTTAAGACTCTTGAATCATTAATGAGAAGTTTGCATTCTAGGTTATTGGGGAGAAGTGGCAACTTAGTGAGATTAACTGAATCCAAATTGTGGATGAGCTTTTAACTTTTATTTATTTATTTATTTGTGTGTGTGTGTGAGTTCAAACACTTACCCATTGCCATACTCACTCACTCACACACACACACACACACACACCCCTACACCTCCCTAAATCCCCCAAATGAACAGAAAATCAAAGGAAAATTTATTATATACTATTGTCAAGTTTTTAAAAAATGAGTATCTTTAGTGTGTATGTGTTAATCTCATGCACACTGTGCATGTATGTGTATGTATGGATCTGCTTTCTTTTCCTGTCTGGGCTCTAACTACACTGTGCACTTGAACAACCACTTGACTTTTCTGGAATCTTAGTTTTCCCATCTTAAAAATGTGGATTTTAAACTGACACCTTCCATTCTTCTCACCTTGTAAATTTGAATTTTACGGTGTGTATCCACCCATACTTGTTCCCCTGTGCTCTGATGGTCATGCAAGTCCCTTCATGACTGGGGTGGCAATGTCCTGTACAGCAGACAGATTCTGCCCCAGGTAAAGGTGTGCAAGCCAGTTTCCTTGATGCGAGTGAAGTGTTCCTTAAAGCAGCTTGGTGTCAGTATTCCCTGGATGCTTTTGAGCCCACAGCCTTGGGTGGGTGGCTCAACCTTGATTTTTGGAGGTGTTTTCCAATCTGGTGAAAGATCTACTAGAGCAATCAGGAAAGGGGGAAGAAGAAAAGGAAATAGATCAGGTTTAACTGCATTTCTGACAAGACACCTCCTTGCATCTATTGTGGTTACTCTTCAAATGAAAGATGCTCTGAAATGCATTTCATTGTGTTCATTTGTTGACCAGTATTTTTTGAGTACCTACTGTGTGCCATACGGTGTTCTGTATAATGGAGAAACAACAGTGAAGATAATAGACCAAGAGTCCCACATTCCTACACTACAGTGGGGGGAACAGGAAACCATGGACCTAATCCATAATTAAATGATGTGTTAGGAAGTATCAGTGCTATTGAAACCAAAAACAGACCGGTGACCTTCTGGGCCATGAAATAATAACAACAGCAGTAACAACAGCAATAAAAATAAAAATAAATCTCTCTTCTTTGTAAAAGAAAATAAACACTTCTTTGGTTCTTTGGTAACTGATCTTCTTGGGTGAGATCCCAAATGGATCTGCATCTTCTGGAAGGTAATTCAGTATAATCATATTTCAAGCTTCCTCTTTCTGACTTAATACAGGGGTTTATTATTCTGTGAAACAATTATTGTACCAAAGAGTTGCTGGAGGAAAAAAAAAATGAGCATTCCCAGGAAGTGTGCTCACAAAGGGAAGAGACCATCCCACAAAATGGGAGCATTCTGGGTTTCAGGAAGCATTGCTCTCCTGGAAGACAGAAGGGTGCTACTTTTGCTGACTGAGGTTTGAGATGAGATATAAGAAATAGAAATCTATCCCAGTCTACAAGAATTTTTGAGGGTAGAGATTGGGACTGAGCTGGCACCATAGGGAAGAAAAGCCAAAGTGAAAGCCAAAGCTCTGTCCCTTACCTTCCCCAGGGCACAGTCCATACCACATTTGTCCTCTTCTTATTAATTTTGGATAGCATGTTTTATAGTGCAGTACATGGGTACTTTGTTGCATGTGTTATTTTAACGACACTGATATGTATTCAAATGCTTCTACTCTGTGCTGGGCACTTGGCTAAGCCCCTCGACCACCTCAGCCCAATCTTCAGAGCAGGCCTATAGAGTAGGAGTTACCGCCTTTGTTTGGAGATGAAGTAACTGAGGCTCAGCAAGGTCACCTCTCTTTTCCAAAGGTCACACAGCCTGTGGGGGGTGGAAAGAGTGATTCATCCCCCATTTGGACACTCAATGTGCATACTCTTATTTTTCTCTTCTGCCTTGGTCCTTACCCTTCAAAGATTTGGGGTTTAGGGGACAGAGTTGGGAATGATGGAGCTGATTCTCTTGCTTTTTGTTGGCATCCCCCACCCCGCTCTAGGGCTTCATGTGAGGCAGGAAGGGAGGGAGAGATCTTCAAGAAGGAGCATTCTGGTGTCTTCTCTTTCCACTCCTCCTTGCCCACCTTCGGTGTTTAGGAGCACTACAAGGACCAGGGAACACATAGAGCTACTGTAGTGTCCCCAAGTCTCAGTGTGCTTTACCACCCTGAGAACCTGTCCTGCTCCAGCTGGGAGAGAGAACAGGGGCTTCCACACACCCCGGATTCATAGAAAGGAAGGATCAGAGCCACGTTTGGGGCTGGACCAACACAATTCACATCTGGCCTCAGTCACCTACCAATGGTCACTTTGAGAAAGGTCTTTTTGTGTACTCAGGCTCAGTTTTCTCAGTCTTACCCTCTGTAAAATGGGGATAATCCCAGCAGCCACCTCAGTAGGTCACCATCAAGACATAATGAGGCACAGAGAGCAGGACACCGTGTCTACGGCGTGAGCTTAGTGAGAAGCCATGAGTATCTCTGGCCTCTCTCTCTAAACTGCCTGTCATATTTTAAATACCAGAAGAGAAAATAAACCAGAATAGAACCCAAAACAAGGGAGCGGGACGTGGGGGCACCACGTGGGCAGGCGGCAAGTGGCTGCTTGCTTTACTTCCTGTCCCCACATACCCACTTACTCATCTTCGTCTCTCCCCACAAAATCCTCATCCTTCCCCACTAAAATAAATGCACCTTGAAACAAGAGACACATCTTATTTTGAGACTCAAATAATGTGCTCTAGGGAGAATTCATTTGTCTGTCTTGTTTGTTTAGGAGCCGTTTCCCCAAAGAGGGCAAGGGACTTGCTTCCTTTATATGTTTTTGTAGAGGATCACCTTGTGTCATTAGAGGTATAAGTA